ACTACAATAATTCATGTTAATAATGATGTAGTTTAAATATATATGATATGTTTTAAATAAACTTACCTGCAAGATAAACACTGATACAATAATGTGTTAACATTAGCATGGGATTTCTATACAAATTTTTGAATGTACGATCCGATAAAATTTTAAATTGTGTAGACCACGATGCACGACGATGAGAACTAAGAATTAATGATTCTTGGACCGATGTTAAAACTGGTTCACTCTGTTCGCTGCTGATTTATTTAAACAAAAACAAAATATTATATTAAAAACAAAATTGTTAAAATATTCTACAAATGCAAACTTTTACCTGTTGACAGAACGATCTATTTCATTCCTAATTCTAGTGGCAATCGAGCTCCTACGGTAGCTTTCAACTAACATCCTTAAATGATCACTCATATAATCATTAGCCTCTCCCATATCAATATCATGAGAGCTATTTTCTGTCGCACGTGACAATTCCCGGTTGTTTAACTCGAAAGAATTTTCTTCTGATGTCCTAGATGGAGATGGAGCATATAATTGTGAATCCTGAATCTCATGAATTGAATTCCGGCTTTGAAGCAGAGGTCGAGTTCCTGAAATAGAACCATTTGTATTGGTATCTTGATTTTCATTCGTATTATCACGGTGTTTCGCTGCGTACATGGTTAAATCAACTAGATCGAATAAATGAATATGTTAATAGGTAATTAAAATAGTATCCTAAAATTTTTGAAATAAAACAAACCAAGATAATCTGCGAGGTTGAATCCTGGAGGGCATTTATGACCAATACTTTCAAAATAAGATTGGCATTTATTTGCATCACCAGAATATATCATGTGACCATTTCCAAGCAATAATAGCTGGTCAAATAAAGCAAATATATTGCTTCTTGGTTGATGTATCGTACAAACTACAGTACGACGATAATCTTTCGCCAAGGTTACAAGACATTCTATAACATTGTAGGCGTTATAGGCATCTAACCCCGATGTTGGCTCATCGAGGAAAAGTATCGATGGCGAAGTAACTAGCTCGCAAGCTATTGACACACGGCGTTTCTCTCCTCCAGAAATTGATCGCGTTCCTGTTTTTATGAAAATAAAATGAAAATGTAAAGACAATTAATTTTTAATTTAATTTAAGGATACAAAGTTTATTTTACCTGCATCTCCTATTCTGGAATCTTTAATATCAATAATTCCCAGTTCTTTCATTGTTTCGGTTACTCTAAACTTCTTCGCTTCGATTGACATTTCTCGAGGTAATCGTAAAAGAGCGGAATACAATATAGTTTCATAAACAGTTAACGTTGGGAGGAGATGATCTTCTTGATCAACATAACTAATAATAAATAAGATTACTATACAATAATATGAATATTAAACACTACCGGTAAATGAGTAAATGGTAAGTAAAACACATACCCGACCACACTCTTGAATTCATCATCTTTAACTTCTCTCCCATTGACATATATTTTACCATTAACGGTACCAACTTTATTTTTGCGAGCAAGAATGTCCAAAAAACTGGTTTTACCAGCACCAGAACCACCCAAGATTGCCATAACTTCACCAGGCTTCACAATCCCGTGTATTGAAGAAAGAATCTGTTTTTCTCCGACAAAATAACCAACATTTTTAAACTGTAATGTAGCTGGGGTATGATCTGCCATAAGCTTGGCAGTTTCATCATCAAGTAGAATTTCACCATAAGGTGCACGTGAGTCACGTTCTCGAGAAAAGTAATAGACAGCTTAGAAAAAGCAAAAGGTTTATAATCAAGTTAATATTATGAGTGAAATTGATATAAATAAGGATATTAATTTTATTTACCTGCAAAAATACCACCGACAAAGATGAACGCTGTTAACACCGTTAGAATAATAACTATTGTATTATCACGTCTAGGTGGTCTCTATATTATAATGGCAAATATCAGCAGCCAATTGGAATCTATTGTTAAATATGTATCATATACTCACTTTAAATCCAGGAACCTCAGTGTAATGAAGACACTCGCCACTATCACAATTCAAAAATATGTGTGCATCACCAAAAACTGCCAAAATCAGTTCATTCATTGCAGGTTCTAATAAATCCATTCAAATAAGTTTTATAGCTTGGTTACATCAGAAATTGCTTTGAAGAATTATTAATAACATACCCGAAAATTTGCATTCCTTTACATTTTTGCATTCAAATTCGGCCGGACCTTTAATTTCCTCCTTTAGCCAATCAGATAGGTCTAATACAAATATTAAATTCTTAGTAATGAAATATTTGTATACTAAACTATCTTTGAATAATATAATGACGTACCGATAGATCCACTTTTACCACAAAGCATTTCCCCGACTACACACTCGCATTTAATTTTTTGACATTTATACGATGTAATATTTTCGTTAACTGTAACATCGTCACTAAATGAACACTCATTTAAGTGACAATAAAATGATTCTGTTTGATTGATCCAAACTGTATTAAAAATTTCAAAAAATAAGTGAAAATTGAATGTAATAATAATTATACGTAAATGAACGAGGATATTTACACTGAAAATCGCAATTTGCGGTTGTACTATTACAAGAAAAAGTAACTTGGGGAGGTTGATCAGGAAGCATGTCTAAAATCTTTCTATCTAAAGAATCCAAGTGAATAATTCAATTAAAAAATTTGATCATATAAAAAGCAGTAATAGATAATTATAGCACCTACTTTTTACATTGCACATCTGAAAATTCTCATGTACAATAAGCCCTCCCTTATAACAAGTACCATTCATTCCTGTAGCCACCATACTATCGCAAGCCCTATCGGCATTACAGACTGTAGTATAACATGAAATTTGTCATTTTTAAAAGAATGTGAAAGAAAGAATATATGTTATTTGATAAATTACAATATACCAACCATTGCAATTGATTCCTCCCCATCCTTCAGAACATTTACAGAATTGATCAGCCTCACGGGCTTTACGATTGGGTCCATCTGCCAAGGAATTACACGCTAAAAAAATATAATTTAGAAATTTATTATTAGACCACACCGAATAAAATAGTATCATTATACCAAATGTGTAAACCTTGAACAGTAATGTGTGAACTCGTGTTCAACCCTAACCTTATATATAGGATGAATCAGTAGAAGCCAAATAAGTTCTTAAAAGTTACTAAGATAATTTTAGGTTCAACCGATTCATCCTGTTTTATTAAAAAAATCCGTTTAAAAAAAACCCCGAATTAAAAAAAAAAAAAAAAAAAATACCTGGTAATGAACAGTCGTTACCAGTAAAACCAGGAGGGCATTCACACCTTCCACTAAAATCGCTACAATTAGTAAAATGCGAGCATGGAAAATCTTTAAGGTGACAATCGAAACAAGGCGGGCATTTTGGGTCACGTTCAGGTTCAGTTTGCAGTTCAAGAGGCGAACGGCGTGAGTGAGAAAGATAAGCGGCTCTCGGAGAGATTAAGGAATTAAAAAGTTTCCCGGTGTCACGACGTGATGGAGTTTTTGCCGAAACGATCTGGATCGACAGAAAAGTTATCCAGAGCAGTATATAGAATATTGAACCATGACATCTTTGGAATGTAAGATACATCACGAGCACCTTTTTAATAATTGAACAAATTTGATACTTGAAATGCTATCAAAAATATTAAGATCAAACACCTCCGAAAAAAATAATATACACCGTTAATTATTATATGTCATAAGATAAACGAACTCGTGTTCAACCCTAACCTTATATATAGGATGAATCAGTAGAAGCCAAATAAGTTCTTAAAAGTTACTAAGATAATTTTAGGTTCAACCGATTCATCCTGTTTTATTAAAAAAATCCGTTTAAAAAAAACCCCGAATTAAAAAAAAAAAAAAAAAAAATACCTGGTAATGAACAGTCGTTACCAGTAAAACCAGGAGGGCATTCACACCTTCCACTAAAATCGCTACAATTAGTAAAATGCGAGCATGGAAAATCTTTAAGGTGACAATCGAAACAAGGCGGGCATTTTGGGTCACGTTCAGGTTCAGTTTGCAGTTCAAGAGGCGAACGGCGTGAGTGAGAAAGATAAGCGGCTCTCGGAGAGATTAAGGAATTAAAAAGTTTCCCGGTGTCACGACGTGATGGAGTTTTTGCCGAAACGATCTGGATCGACAGAAAAGTTATCCAGAGCAGTATATAGAATATTGAACCATGACATCTTTGGAATGTAAGATACATCACGAGCACCTTTTTAATAATTGAACAAATTTGATACTTGAAATGCTATCAAAAATATTAAGATCAAACACCTCCGAAAAAAATAATATATACCGTTAATTATTATATGTCATAAGATAAACGAACGAACGATTAAGAAAATTTTGTTCAAATATAATCTCTTTATATACGTAATCAAACGTGAACATGTGATCAAATATTTATGAGTCACGTGGAAATGGAGAACGCCGAATTGTTATGAGTTGGGTTCAGGTAGTGGATTGTTGCAAGATACCCCAGTAGTACCCGAAAAATGATATCGATAT